GGTTATGATTCGTGACTGGGTTATATCCAAAATAAGTAAGAAATGCCAGGCTATGCAAACAAATCAATCACAGGAAACGAATACGTAAGTAATAAACGCGTAGAGTAGTTTATTGCGTCAATACAGTATATCCACTGATATACCGGAGATTTTACCATAAAGAGATATGTAAACAAATGTTGAACACAACAACGCGGTAAAGACTGGCGCTAAAATACTAGCGCGTCCTATTTATAAGCTCGGTGGGATACTGAACACTAGGCGGGAATGCCCCTCATTGGTCGAAAGTTAACCTTATAGAAATGCGTAATAAAGTGGTGTTTTCTATCACGTTCGCACTTGTGTCAACAACCTGTCTATTTATAGACGTGGTTTAAAGCAAAAATGGTACATGTAATCAAATATATAAAGTACTCAAACACAGTATTTAAGAAAACTTCGATAATACAATAATCAGTGTTTTCAATAATAACTATCAAATGCTTTACACGACATGTTGAAAACAGTGGTTGACCAACATACCCGATGTGGTCAATCCTAACGTTGTTAATGCATGACCAAACCCATCTTCGTAGTCGTAGCTCATTATTAAACAAGTAATCTAGTGAGTATAATATATAGGCAAAACAACTGCCGGAAATAGTGAAATTAGTAGTTTTTGTTGCAGCGTATAGACGTGTTTACGTGACAGCGAAATGTCCCCCAAACAAATATGGCGGCCGGCGTTGCTATGTCGGTCACGTAATCTGTGACGTAGGCCCGTCTTAGAGAATGCCTTGACGTTTTCATTCAGGCACAACCTGACAAGGTCAAGTGTGTAGCGCCCTCCGCGGAGTCCAAACCCAACACATGTCAGGCCATGAATATGTCATATCGCTCGTACGGACATGTATTGAAACAATATCAAGCGTATCTTCACATTGCTATCAATAAGCGTGGTTTCTAAAACAATATCCGTATCGCTTTTAGCATGTATGTGGTATATGGGCAGCTGACAGTGTATAGCACCACTTGTAATAATACAATTCGTAAAACATTATCACCTGCGATAAAACAGCCTGTAAATCATTTACCCGCGATGTGGAGGTGCTAAAATCACTTTTGTATTTTTTATTCAATGTATTTTATTTCGGGAAACTTGTGCGGGTGTATTGAATCACTGTCCTATCATAAAAGGTATTTTGAGTCATGTAACGTATCAATTTGGATCACGTGATGTAGCTTATTAAAATACATGTTACTCTAGACTTAGAAAGACACAGATATAGACTCAGGGAGACACACCGGACCTGGTCCACTTGTTTGCTCTCTGGGCTTGGCCGTTGGGCCAACGCCCAGATACAACTTTTGTACTTATCTGATGTCACGACTCCGAATAAAGATCTCCGGTTCACACCACCCCGTTTACAGTCTCAATCCTTCCCTAGCAATACATCGACATTGAACATTTATTTAAATAAACAATTCTCTGGTCATATATACTACATAGTAACGCTCGATTCTAAACAGAAGCACTCCTGTTGTTTCCGCCTTTTTGTATGTGTCTTTCTTCCGTGCTAAATCTCGTGGTATACTCGTACTAAGCCGGGCAATGCGTTAGTAAGTAATTCCATCTAGCGAGCATGATCGCGTAGTTTATTCCTTTGGTTTCATAATTCCCGTTTACTCACGGGCACTGAAAACAGCTTAAATATACACAGTCTTGTTTATGAATATGTGGACAATCTAACTACTAGTATGTTAAAATGATGATGCAAAAGCGTTCGATTGAGAAACAATCAGACACGATGTGTTACAGCACTCAATAATTAGCATTGCCGTTAAAGGTCAACTCGGCTCTCATATCCAAAGTTAATACAAACGTTTTTAAATTTTTGATATGCAAATATTTTGGAGTGGAGTTTCAAAAATGCCGAACATGCATTTCAAAATTGTATTAGTTTCAACAACGCTAACGTGCCCAAAATGTTAAACGTGCAAGCATTGATTATTGTTGCTTTTTCAGACAGACAATCTGCCGGGATCTTTCGTCATTTTTAGGGAATTATTGAGGTTGGGTTGGTTGCAGTGTAAACCCGACCCAACCAATATCTAAGGTATGAAAGTATCAATCGGCTTAATTGTTTTCATAGACAAGTATGACTTTGTGAACAATGGTATGCGGGATCTGTGTGTCGTTATTGCGACAAGTTATATTAGCAGTAATATTTGTAACTGTGGTTACACTTCTCGACTCGCCTGTGAGGTGCCTCAGGCTGCATAGAACAGAAGGCACTCCCACAATGCACTGTACAGGATATGCCGTCATTGTAGGTTCAACACTTTTCCACAAAAACATCCCTAGAGATTGGTGGTGTTTTCATTCCCGGTCTGTTTGAAGCATTTTTGTTGGATTATACTAGGTGCCTCCAATTCATGGGAGTATCAATAACCAGGCAATTGGATGCTTATTTCTGACTACTGTAAAATACATTATTTTAAGTGGAATTAATTTTCGCTGAAAAGAATTTTTGGGTGTTTTTGTGTTTTTGTGATCCCGCGTTATGCGTACGATTGTACGTTGGTAGTTCGTTTTGCTGACTAAATAAAATGTCCGGAATGAGTGTGCATTGTTCTTCAAAATTAAACGCAAACTGACAAATGCATGTGTTCACTGACATTGGAATGCAAATGTTGCGTATTTATACCAAAGACAGCAAAAGCATTACACAATAATTAATTTATAAGTCTAAATATTTATTAACTAAAAAAGCAGTGACTTTTTCTTTTAATTGATGCACTTTGCGAAAAGGAGGAAGGTTCCTATCCAGCCAATCCGTTCGCCTTGTTTAGAATCAGCCTTATTCAAACGGATGAGATTGATTTCAAATAAAAACATTTGGGTTTATAATTTTAGTAAGTGCATTCATAAGATTAAACTCGCCTTTGATGAATTCACAGTATGATCTAACAATGCAATTGAATTGTATAATTTCGAGAAGATGATTATAGATTGCGATATGTCGATACTGTTACGTCCTGAGTTTGTAAAGTCAGTATGCAATAATACTTATAATAACAACTATTGCTAACATGCCAATGTATTGTGTATGCCTAGACCATATTGACACTTTCAGGCATGCAATGTCTAACTACTTGGTTTTGGGTTGAAATCCGTGCATATTAATTACCTAATTTACATGGTAATTCACCAATTGTTATCTGTTCCATGACTGTTCTATTTATATCTAAAGACCCACTTTGATTTTGATGAAACTTGGTACATGGATGCCGTGTAACAAGGCGCAGACCTGGTTTGTTTTGGATAAATTCCATGCATATTAACTACCTAATTTGCATAAAGATTAGTCAGTTTTTGGCTTTCCCGCTGATATTTTAAGTACTAATAGTTACATTTCAATAAAAACTTCAAATTGACAATTTATTCATATTTCTTAGCAAATTTCTAATATATCCCAACAAACTTGTGGTAGAGGTGCTCTGGAACAAATTAGACTGAAAACCACAAAATTATTTTCTGTACATATCGTAAACTTCAACAATGTGGATTACATTGTTTTCCATTTGTGCATCGTGTTTTTTTAAGTCCAGTCCAAGACTCCAGTCCACAAGTTCAGTCTTAGAATCCAGTCCAAGAGCCTAGCCAGAGAATCCAGTTCATAAGTCAAATCTATGGGTTCATCCCAAGAGCATAGTCCGAGAACCCAGTCCAAAAGCCCAGTCCACGAGTCCATACAAGTCCAAGAACATAGTCCGAAAACCCAATCCAAGAGTCCGTTCAACTAGTATAGTCCAAGAGCCCAGTCCAAAAGTCCAGCTCAAAGTCTAGTCTATATATATATATATATATAATCTGTTTAATTTATTTAAAAGATTCCTCTCATTAGTAAATAGCGCCCTCACTCAACAATATTTAGAATGAGTGATTGGTAAAAAGTTTGATGAGTCAGGTGCATCTATTGGCTAAGCTTGTTGTACATAGATGCAAATGAGTATGGGAACCATTAATGCTGTAGGATGTACTGGGAGGGGTGGAGGATTTAATGTTTGTAATGACTGGTTGTAATGCGGTATCTCGTTGTTTTCAAGATGCAGCCTGATATTTGTTGCTTTCTTGGTTGTTCAATTGTGGCTAAAATTTGTGTGGTGGGTGGAAGATGTGTTTGTTTGTTGAGTCATTGTTTAGACACCCTGCAGCTTGAAATGGTATGGTCCAAATCCAAATTCGATATGGTGGTGTTGAATATCTGCGATATGGCAGTGTCATCTAAAAATCACGCATCAAAATGATTTCTGTTTATTTATTTACTGTTGTAGATCCTGAGAACTAGCCATTGAATATGATGTCGGGAATAAATGGTTTTCTGAACAAGCTTTATTAATTATTGCTGGCAATATTCCAGTATGAATTGGGAGCAAACTGTGACAATAAAACAATAAAACACTCACAGTGCAAGGCTAGTTCACCAACATGTCTATTCTCTTGCTTGAGTGTGAAAGTACATGGTTTAGTGACTACCTCTTATATTTTTAAATTTTTAGAATTATTTTGTAGCAGATTTTCTAACACGCATTTATCATATGTGATACATTATGACATTAGTCATAAAACATAACGTAATTCGTCAGTAAACCATTTAAGTTTATGGTAACTTACATTTCACTAACTCTTGGAACAGCGACATTTCTATTAGTACAACAAATTGTATATCGTAGTAAATGTATTCCATAAATTCAATGTATTCGTAATTAGAATTAAAATGACATATTTAGCGTTCCAACGCATTAACTAATTTCAGCATTGGGACAGTAGCGTACATTTCAGAAGTATTACGTATTGGTACAACTTTCGTTTTTCATAGCCAAGTTTTGTATTCTTAATGTAGGAGCTCATCTCTTTATTGTGTTTATGTGTTTAACATGGAGAATTGTGTCACCATTTTTTCTTTTTTTCAAAAATATAACTGTTGTAACAATATTAAAATTGCTATAATTTGTTTCGCCCTAATACTCAGTAGGTCGAATGTCCGCAAAAACGACCAATAAGCTGCCTGAGCTTTCACAAAAGCCCATATTTAAAAATAATTTCAATCTTCGAATCCATTCCACACTTGGCGCAAAATTCGTCTCAGTTGTTCAATTGCATGTAATCGGTCCCCGCTGGAATTCTCGTGCAGACACCGTGCAAGCAGCGTTTCCAGTTCATCTCGTATCGACGGCGGTGGATCATCCAGGAGTGCACCTGATTACAAAAATACATGAAATGATGCTTTATGCCGCGAATTAATAATACATGAAAATCGAGTTCCGTGTCCCTATTGTGTTGAGGGCGGTTGACGTGGCGAGAAAACTTGGGTAGTCGCTAATTTTGACATAGTCATGCAGAAAAATAGTCCAAGTTATACATATTACATCTTCAGATTTGCATTGCCACTACATATGATCTGTAGACAACCTCTCACTGATCTTTTCATGTATTAGTAGACTGGCCCAGTTTTATTGTTTTATATGTTAATTCCTTAAAGAACGAGTTGGTGGAAATTGGTAAAATTGCGTCGAAAAAGAAATATGAAATTGCCGAACAGTCACTGCCCACGCATACAAAACGTGAACAAGTGTAACAAAGTCGAAATACAACAAATGATATAAGTGACATATAACATCAGTTAAGGCATTCGGTGGGCGTTAAAAAAGTGAGACTATGGGCTCAAAAAACTACATTTTCACGGGTAATTAATTACTGGAGGTGTCGCATGAGGGCGTACCTATCCTCACAGCGCTGGTGTCAATATTCCCATCAATACCAATTGCGTCTTCCCCGACACGGGTAGCATTCTCCCAATTTGATAACAAGAGGATACAGACGCTGAGATACATCACATCACTATGGGGAATGTCTTGACAGTATTCGTCTGGGTCGTCAGCCACCAGGTCTGCCAGCTCTTTCAGTTCTTTGAATGATTTTCGTGTTTTTCTCGTTCTCCCGGCATCTGTGAAGCAAACGAATGTTATCTCATATATTATGCAAATGATATTCATTCTTCTGTATTAACCGTGTATTTCCAATTTTTACACCTTTCACAAAATAAAACTACATTTTTTTTTCAATTGACCAAAAACTGTAGTCAATGACGAATGATATTTCCTCCAAAATTAACAACGAAACTATAAAAAAACACAAAAAAAAATAAAAAAAACAAACAAACAAACCTGTACTACAATTTGGGCGGGAAAATTTGGCGTTCATAGGGTGAATGTCGTTTGAACGCGAGATGCTATCGAACGCCGGTCGAAGAATCGGTGAAATAATTTGAGAAAACAGTACAAACTCAACTTTGAAGTTTCCATTTTCTGATAGTTTTCACCGACTTGAAATATACAGTTGTTCATATTTGGGCATTGTGTGAAGTCATTGTATATATATTCTCGACTGTGGATTGACGTCACAAGACGCGGCGAAACCCGTGGGTCATTCAATCACGTTGTTTTAGCATATAAACCCAAACATTTGTTTAAATTGCTTAGCAATGTTGTGATCTGAAATGACCATGAATTTGGTGAGAGTATCATCACTAGCATTTCGTAATTCAATTGTTTATTGTACGATACCCGGATGTTCAGAATTAGATATCAAGACTCAGATGCCGTTCAAGTATCCCATAATGCTATACAGTCATCACTATAGTAACATATCGAGTGATGTTATAGGTTACATCCCCTTCCCAGTGGATACTAAAAATCTCACAAAACAATTTGAATCTGATACATTTGTTGTATACGAACTATCATTTTGTAAACGAATAAATCGAACACTGTATATATCTTTAACGAATAACGAATAATAACAAACTATAAGATTCATGATGAATTTCACTGAAACAGTTCAAAAGTCTGAGATATACTTAAAATGTTATGAATCGACTAAGCGAGTGTCACTAGATTATAAATCAAGTATTTTGCGTGGAACTGGCTTTCTTGATGACCTGTGAAGTATAGAAGCGAGTTTTGTAGAATCATCGCTGTTAGTCAATTTGTGTTCTTGACTTGGACTGTTCACTTTTACGTTTTCACCGTTGTTAAGATGACATATTTATTTGCAATGGTGGTGAATTTATGGAGCTAGACTTTGTAGATTGAAGATATACCGGATCAGGTGTGGTGTCATGATCAGTGAGCGTGGGGTCATGATCATCAATGTCGGAGTTGTTTTGAAGTAATCTTCTATCTAACTTCTTATAGAAAAGTGAGTTTCTTGTGACAGTGTGTTCATCATAATAAGCAGTAATCATAGAGTCTTTCGCACTACTGCCATTGGAGTAGGCTCATACACTGTGGACCTTTGGTTTTTTTGTATGGTCGTTTTACCAATACCATATCAACTGTCTCTATATCA